CAAATGTTGTACAAAATAACACAGCAGGCATTAGAAAATGTATTACTCTATCAGTCATGCTGTGACACAGTTTGCAGTACTCTGCAGTGTGTTTGAATAGTGTAGCTTTCTTGCTTAAGTTTTCTATCCTGGCAAGTACTTGTTTTTGATCTGCATTTATTGAAAGTGATATGTTGAAGGGAAAGAGCAAAATACAGCAGAAAAATTCTGTCTAAACGCAGTATGATAGGCCTGTCTATATTAATCTGTGAAAAGGGCACTAAAATATAATGGTGAAAACTGTGTGGGTCAGCCTCACAAACTGGGGAATATCCTCACAGCAGATGTTATATAAACATGCTACACAATCCTTCTGTTTCTACCATTGTAACTCTGATGGGTTGCGTAAGTTGAGGACTATCTGCACAGTGTTTTTTTAATTGTCCTAAAGAAAAGCAGATACTGTTCAAGATGTCTGAACAGTAGGAGAGAAATACTTTATGGTTCCTGGAGTAAGGGACGACATCTAGGACAGCGGCCCCCAAACTTTCGGGTACCAGGGACCGGTTCTATGGAGAGAGGTTTTTCTGCGGACCACGGAGGGGGCATGGTTTCATGTGCTGCCTACATCCCATGGATGGGGGCTTCACTTGTTTGAGCGGCCCAGTTTGACTGGTACATGTCTCATTTCTGAAGACACTGATTTCTATTTTATAAGTTACTTCTAATGGATAGCTTCAGTGTAGATAATAAAAGCCTTCATTGTCCAATCATCCCAGAAGTTACTTTTTGCAATCTTATGCTACTACAACTTTAAAGGCTGATAACCCTTAACAAGCAAAAATGTCCCTCTTATTGGGGTTAAGTAATACCTGACCTTATAAACATCAGGAATCTAGCAAGATAAAGGGAAGTTTGTACAATGGGTACCACTAGACATTCCTCCCCTATCAAAGACTTTCAGTTATGTTCGGCTCAGAATAAAGCAAGTCTGCACTCAAGGAATAAAGCTTATCGCTAATTTAAAGAGGGTGGAGGAGAATATGAAAACACAACATACTCTTTTCATACCACAGAAATGGTCATACGCAAAACAGAACTCCCTCAAAACATGAAGGTCTCTTGAGAAAGGAAAAACCAAATTTTAAGCCTACATTAACTTTAGCTAAACTGCTGGTGCTTTGTGTCTTGGTGACACATTTAACTGATGGCACAATAGTGTTTATGCCAATAACCTATTTATATAACCTGACAAGTTCTTCTGGGCTGAATGCCATCGCTTTTTTGTCCCAAACCATTTCTTTTAGGAAAAGAAGCACAGCAGGACATAAAGGGATTCCAGCTCAAATTAATTTATTCATTGGGTTTTCATGTTCCTTCAATCCCTAGATTTTAAACAGATAACAACAGTACCAATGAAGGAGAATATCTGTAGTTCAGGGTTGAACTGTGGGGCCTCTGAGCCATAATGGCACAGTGGTTAGAATACAATATTGCAGGCTAATTCTGCGGACTGCCAGCAGTTCGGCAGTTCAAGTCTCACCGGCTCAAGGTTGACTCAGCCTAACATCCTTCCAAGGTTGATAAAATGAGGACCCAGATTGTTGGGGGCAATAGGCTGACTCTGTAAACTGGCTAGAGAGGGCTGTAAAGCCTGTGAAGTGGTATATAAGTCTAAGTGCTATTGCTCTGAGCTTGGTTGTTTTCTTGCAGACATTTCATTACCCAAACTAGGTAACGTAATCAGGCCTAGCAGGGAGTAAAGTAGCACTAATGATGTTACCTGTTTGGGTAATGAAACATCTAAAAAAAAAATTAAGCTCATAGAGCACCAGGACCCCTCAGATAACAACCATGTACAATATTTCAATTTGCCATCGGCCGGGGAGACATCTGAGTCAGTCTTGGAGTTCATGGCCGCCATGACAGCCATGGACCTCAGGTTGTACAGGGCCCAACTCATAAGGGAGGACACACACTCGACCTGGTTTTTCTCTCTGGACAGTGGATAAATGATCGTGGTAGGGGAAACTTGTCAACCTATCCCCTGTCATGGTCCGATCATTCCCTCCTCAGGCTGGACTTTCTCTCCGTCATCCTCCGCCACTGGGAGGCGGAACCAGTGAGATTGTTCTGTCCCAGGTGCCTGATGGACCCGGAAGGGTTCCTGACGGAGCTTGGGCCTTTTCCCACCTCCTTATCCCACAATTCGTCTGAGGCCCTGGTCGCGGCCTGGGAACAGGCTGCAGTGGGGGCCTTGGATCGAATTGTGCCTTTGCGGCCTCTGGCCCGACGCAGATCCCAGGTGGCTCCCTGGTTCACTGCGGAGCTCAGGGAAATGAAGCATCGGAGAAGAGGCCTGGAGGACGGTTGCAGATCCTCCCGATCCGAATCTGACCGAACACAGTTAAGAACCCATATTAGGTCTTATCTTGTGGCAATGGAAGCAGCAAAGTGCCAATATTTTGCCGCTCTCATTGCATCTGCAGAAAATCGCCCAGCCGCTCTGTTTAGAGTGACCTGCTCTCTCCTCAAATCATGGAGCGAGGAAGGACCCCTTGCAGGGCAGAGCTGAGGATTTTGTACAGTTTCTGCAAGATAAAATCACTCAGATTCGGACTGGGTTGGACTCTGACTGGGCAGAGTCTGACGAGTCGACAGGGGCCTGTCCTGATGGTAACATCTGGGTTGAATTTGAGCCTGTTTCGATGGATGAAGTGCACAGGATCATGGGTCGACTGGGTGCCTCCACATGTTTATTGGACCCTTGTCCCTCCTGGCTCGTTTCTGCAGCCAGGGAGGTGACTGGAAGCTGGATTCAAGCGGTTGTCAACGCTTCTTTGAGGGAAGAGGTCTTCCCCACCACACTCAAAGAGGCGGTGGTTTGTCCCCTTCTCAAGAAGCCCACCCTGGATCCAGACTCCCTTAATAACTATCGTCCAGTTTCCAACTTTCGCTTTATAGCGAAGGTTGTCTGTGGTGGCACAGCAGCTCCCGCAGTTCCTGGAGGATACTGACTACCTAGACCCGTACCAATCGGGTTTCAGGCGTGGTTACAGCACGGAAATGGCATTAGTCGCCCTAGTAAATGATCTCTGGCGGGCCAGGGATGGGGGTTGCTCCTCCATCCTGGTCCTTCTTGATCTCTCAGCGGCTTTCGATACCATCGACCATGGTATCTTACTGCAGCGACTCGGGGGGTTGGGGGTGGGAGGCACCGTTTTACGGTGGTTCTCCTCCTACCTCTCGGGCCGCTCACAGTTTGTATGGATGGGGGGGGAGAGATCCACCTCGAGGCCCCTCACTTGTGGGGTGCCTCAGGGGTCGGTTCTCTCCCCTCTGCTCTTTAACATCTACATGAAGCCGCTGGGTGAGATCATTCGTGGTTTCGGGGTGAGGTACCATCAATATGCTGATGACACTCAGATTTACATCTCCACCCCGGATCACCCTGGGGATGCTCTTTCTGTGATGTCCCGCTGCCTGGAAGCGGTGCGGGCCTGGATGGGAAGAAACAGACTGAGACTCAACCCATCCAAGACTGAGTGGCTGTGGATACCGGCATCTCTTGATCTAGTGGCCCCATCACTAGTGATGGGAGGGTAGATCCTTACTCCCTCAGAAAGGATCCGCAATCTGGGGGTCCTCCTGGATTCATGGCTATCCCTAGAATATCATTTGACGGCCGTGACCAGGGGGGCCTTCGCACAGGTACGCCATGTGCGCCAGTTGCGCCCTTTCCTAGATCGGGATGCCCTTGCCACAGTCACTCATGCCCTTGTTACGTCTCGGTTGGACTACTGTAACGCCCTCTACATGGGGCTGCCCTTGGGATGCACCCAGAGACTACAGTTAGTCCAGAATGCGGCCGCGCCTGTTGTTACAGGGGCTTCTCGGTACTCCCGTGTGACACCTCTCCTGCGCGAGCTGCACTGGCTGCCGGTGGCTCTCCGGGTTCGTTTCAAGGTGCTGGTGCTCACCTATAAAGCCCTACATGGTTTAGGCCTGGGGTATCTGCAGGATCATCTCCTGCCTTCCTCCCACCGTCCAGTGCACTCACACAGAGCGGACCTCCTCAGGGTGCCGTCAGACAGACAATGTCGGCTGGCAGCCCCCAGGGGGAGAGTGTTCTCTGTGGGAGCGCCGATCCTCTGGAATGGGCTGCCCACCGGCCTCAGGACAGCCCCGGACCTCCTCTCCTTCTGCCACGAATTGAAGACATGGCTTTTTCACCAAATGGGCTGAATCCATAGGCGTGACTTCAAATAATTTTAATAATTTTTAATTGATTTTAATTTAATTTTAAATTGATTTTAATTGTTTATGTAATTCTTTGTTTTGTTTTTGTAAGCCGCCCTGAGTCCTACGGGAGAAGGGTGGCATATAAATTACATAAATAAATAAAAATAAATAAATAAATAAATAAACAGGTTTGAAATATCCCAAAAGACCTACATTTATACTATAGACAAACTCAACACTGCATTTGCCATTCCATATCCCGGGTGTAGCGTCCATCATCTCTTCACTCTTAATTTTTGAAGGCCCTGCTAAGAGCTAAATCTTAACTATGTTCCAAAATGACATCAGAAGCATGGCCAACTTTGCTGACAGAACTAAATCTGATAATAGTTGGGAGAGAAACACGCACAAAATCTAAGGCATGGCCCCAAGAACATTTTGTTTTTACTCATCTAGAAACAGAAATGGAATTCTCTGTTTTTACAGGATGCAGAACTGGAAGCAGTCATTTAGACCAGCTAAGTCCACCCTTCTGCTTAGCACAGGAATTCAAATGATAATTAACTTGGGAAGAACAGAGTCAGAAGGGACGTGGGACAACATGGAACCTGCAACCTTAATTTGCTAATTGGAGCAAAGACCCCCCCAAAAAAAGGATATACAACATGAATGTTCCACTGTGTAGTTAGCTCTTCTCACCGAAACAATATAACCTGTAGAAACACACCAGTGATATTAAAGTACATTTTGCTAATATAATCTGAAACTCAAATACTTACCAGCCTTGCTCGGCGAAAGAACAGCTATCATTACAAGAACAGGAACAATCATAAGTCCATTTATCATTGTAGATCTAAAAAAAAAGAGGGAAAAGATTCTTGCTTTAAAAATAAAATCACAACTAAGCATACTCTTGCCGAGTAGCAATTGTATTTGATAGTTCTGCATTGTTCAATCAACAAACATGAGCACTTTCCCAACTGCATTTAACAATCACTTGACTAACATGAAGAGTTTGCAAGAGGTTAGATTCCGGAATGGCAAAAAATACAACCTTGTAAGAACAGCCAAATGTCTACAAAATAATGCATTTACAAATACGAAACCCTCTTGCAAATTTGAGACGGTGGGCTTTCCAAGCCATTCCTACCAGTAGCTAATGTAAACAGAGGTGTGGGTAGACTCTGTGTGTATGCCTTTAGTTAGCGTTGACTCCTGAAAACTGTCTAACAAGTCCCCAGAGTTTTCTTGGCAAAATTTGGGAGATGGTTGCCATTGCTTTCATCCTAAGGCTGAGTGAGAGTGACTGGCTCAAAGTCACTCAGCTAGCCCAAAGTCACTCAGAACTAATGATCTTCCAATTTCTAGCCTAACTTAACCATTTCACCAAACTGGCTCCTATGGACAGGCTTAGAGTGTAATATTTGGATTCCAAAGCAAAGGCTGATATTTTGACCATTTTTTTAAAAAAAAATCCAAAAGTCAGAGCTAAAGCATTACATCCAATATCAAAGGAGGAGGAATCTTAACAAACATGGATGTTGTGGTACAAAGGCTGTTCCCAACACTAATCTTACAGGTGTGAGTTCTGCCTGTTTGTTACCAGACCAACTTTACCTTTAGAAAATCACATAGCAGAAAACTGTGAGTAGCAGCAAAACTACTCATTTTTTAAAAAGACAAAATGATCCGTTCTGGTTTGGCCTGTTTTTTTGCCCCCTTTTTAACACTAGGGGGTCTAATCTACTCACCCCACTGGAGTCAGCAGTAACATTCCTATCAGACCATAAAGTAACAGTTTGCAATTTCATGCTGACTGGAAGTTGGCCCATTGTGATATCTCCTGTCAATGAACTGGGCTTGTTGTATAATTACCACATTTGGGGTTCAAACTGGCAAGCTTTGTCCATAATCTCCATAGGAGCCTTGGTAGTACAGTGGTTTAATGCACCCTGTTATTAACACAGCTGCCTGCAATTTCTGCAGGTTCGAATCTCACCAGGCTCAAGGTTGACTCAGCCTTCCATCCTTTCTAAGGTAGGTTAAATGAGGACCCAGTTTGTGGGGGCAATAAGCTGACTTTGTATAAAATATACAAAAGGATGAAGGCTATTGCTTAACGCATTGTAAGCCGCCCTGAGTCTCCGGAGAAGGGCGGCATATAAATCAAATTAAAATAAAATAAAATAAATAAATAATTACAGTAACCATCACTGGGAATCAAGCAGGCATGTTGATTATAGTACATTCCGAAGTTTTGGAATCCATCAAAGTATCAGGAATATTTTGGACAAAGGGGAAAAGAAGAGGACTTTGATCAACTTGGACATACTAAATAGTTTTATGTTGTAATTTTCTAGGCCTTTTTTTAAGTGTGATCTTAGATCACATTTTGAACTTACATTAATAGTTTTTTTTAAGGAAAAAGAATGCTGTAACTTTTTTAGTATGAGGTACCCAGAATCTTCTTAAATATAGGTGGCCTTCAACTTAAAATAGTTTGTTTTGTGACCATTCGAAGTTACAACAGCATTGAAAAAAGTGACAATTTTTCACACTTACAAACATTGCAGTTTCCAACATTAAATTGAAAATGAATACAGCAATAGAGAGAGATGAAGGAATTGGAAGGGAGGAGGAAGGAGAGAGAGGGATGGAAGAGTAGGGAGGAAGGAAGGGAAGGAAAAATAGAGTAGGAGAGAAGGCAAGACAGGGAGGAAGAGAGGAGGAGAAGGAGAAGGGAAGGGGAAGTAGAGAAGAGAAGAAGAAGGTGGGGAAAGAAAGTTGGAAGGAGAAGGAGGAGAGGCTAGGTTTGAGGAGAAAGATTGCTTTAAAATAAAAAAAAATATGAAGTGGAAGAAAGGCAGCTCTGAACAAACAAATATAAATATATTAAGAAAAAGAATGAATTGTTTAAGAATAAAAGAGGATAAATATGTATAAATAGTAAAGTTAGAATTTAGGGATAAATGAAGAAGATGTTTATGTATGCAAGTATAGAAATACTGAGGTATATTCAAAAAAAGGAAAGGGGGGAAGACGATATTGACAAAAATTGTAACTGAGTAAAATGTATTTGAATTTGACTAATTGTATAAAATAAGAAACGACCAACACTCTATTAAAAAAAAAACAAAAAGAAAGGAAGAAAGATGTGGGTGAAGGTGGGAGAGGAGGAAAGAAAAAACCAATAAAACTTGTTTAAAAAAAAAACATTGCAGTTTCCTCATGTTCACGTAATCAAAATTCAGATGCTTGGCAACTGACTCATATTTATGACGGTTGCAGTGTCCCAGGGTCACGTGACCACCTTTTGCGACCTTCTGACCACAAAGTCAATGGGGAAGCCTGATTCATTTAACAAGTGTGTTACAACTTAACAACTGCAGAGATTCATTTAACGACTATTACACGAAAGGTCGTAAAATGGGGGAAAACTCACTAAACAAACCTCCCACTTGGCAACAGAAATTTTGGGCTCAATTGTGGTCGTAGGTCGAGGGCTATCTGTATGCTCTAAAAAGGAGAGGTGGTGAAGGAGCAAAAGGAAGGGAAAATTCGTATTAACAAATTCCAATTGTGCAATAGGAGATTTAATTCATAGATGCTTTGGGCTGAATATGTTCTAGCTAATTATACGCCATTTGAATATTTTGCTAAAATGCTACATATATGATTACCGCCGTGAACCAAATGTACGCTAACTAATGGTGGCTTTTATGCACCCAGCAAAATACGAACCAGGTCTTCAGCGCGAGGTTAACTGCACAGACCTTGCAGGAACAAAAGCAAAAGGAAAGAACAATTTGCAGCCTTCGCCTGCCAAAAATACAGATTTTGTATTCATTTTATCAGGAAGCTATTCTATTGATCAAGACAAGCTGTTTAAATGATACCCTTAGGGAGGCAAATGTCAAGCACTTCTTGATATATAATGCTTAAGAAGAAATAAGAGCCCAGCTCTCTACTACACTAAAGTGTCTAGCATAAGCCAACAAACTGTTTAGGCAGTTGAAGTCCTGCCAAGAAACTTTTGGAAGGGATGTCAAGATTTCTTGCCGGCTGCCATTTTGCTCAGAGAACATAGGATATGCTGCTAGGCTGTATATTCAAGCAAGGTAGAAATAGACCTTAAAAGAAAGCCTGTTAATTTTGAAAACACACATCAACTCCACAGATGCCAAGAATGTTAGCCAAGAAGTCAAGTTTCACTGCTGCCTTTCACCTAGATAAACATGAAACAACCAGGAGGATGATTATTAAGCCAAAAAAAAGATCATCAAACCTAGGAAATACAACCCTCTGGGTCAATGAAAACTGAGCCTTCTTCGGGGGGGGAGTCAACGACTCAGGGTGCACTGGAATGAAGAAATGGCTTGAATCCAAGACACGTTTTAGAAGTTGGGTTGGCAAGTCTCATGTTAGAGAGATGTACTGAGACACATTCTGGAAGGATAATACACATTCTGGAAAGATAATTGGGGCTTCAGTGCGTTTGTGTTTGATTCCCTTAAATCCCACAAAAAAATCTCCCCCCAATTTCTACAACCTATTTAACGCACCTTGGAGGTTTGGAGGCTTCTATAGCCACAGGAGGAAAGCTGTCAGACTGCCTATGACTCCCAAGCTATTCCTTACAGGGCAGTTCTATCCTATTTTGTTTTCAACTTTATGTTATATTTTCCTCTAAACTGTATGTCAACTGCATTATCTAAACCACGGTCAACATAATTACCTTATTTAACCCCTAAAATTGAAAGAACTTTACTACGCAGTTAAGATAACCCAGACTAGACCCTAAACTGCACCACCGTGTAGTCGCACCATGTGTGGCATCTTCATTAACCTCTCACAATCTTGGTTTTATTATGTGGATTAATTCATTGTTTTAACTGGTTTTTATATTTGGTTTTAAGGGTTAGTTTTGTTGTATGCCACCCCAGAGTCACCTTATGTGAGATGGATAACCATATACAGTACATTTGATAAAATAAATAAGCTGACAAGAATTTATTGAACTTTTATATACACAATATGTCCTTTTTGAAAGAAAGAACAGTAGCAGCTACACAGATCTACCATTACCATTATCAGCATCTTCTCTCAGCAAAACTTATAGATAATTCACAATATCACCTGAAATCAGGGTGGATAAAAATCAATGATTTTTTTTAAAAAATCAAAAAAATCAGATTTTTTTAAATTTAAATTGGATTTTTTTGATTTTTATCGAATTTATTTTAATAAAAAACTTTTGGGGTAAAAATCTATCGTAAGATAGTTTTCTATTTAAGATACATAAATAATTTAGTTTATTCAGCATGAAATGGGGCTTAGTTATGTAGCATGAGGCTGTATATTCTGCAACACTGGGACTATCGGTGAGTCAACAGTAGGTCAAAGGAGTAGCAGAGATGACAGTTGCTCTTTAAAAATTATGATTTAAATCGAGTTGATTTAAATCAAGCCTTTTTACTAGTGATTTAAATCATGATTTAAATTGTGATTTAAATCAACTCGATTTAAATCAAATCCACCCTGCCTGAAATGCTAATATCCAGTTTTGTCTGTGTATATTACCTCTAAGGTTGTAAATTCTAGCACAAGTCTTAACACAATTGAATAATAACAACAATAATAGTTGTCTCAGGAAGAGATACTGGCTTGGGCCTAGTATTTTGGTACTGACTAGAAGGCACTTGTGAGCTAAACATACCTAATGTTGTGTTAGGCAGCAGTGTTCTCCAAACACCCATACTCCACAATATATCACTACTACATACAATTTTGATTAAATTTATGTAGAATTACTAATCCACTATACCTTCTATACTTGTGTTTATTTAAGTATGC